TTAGCAACTGGAAGCCTTTTTATGTAACCAAAAGCTTAGTTTTAAAACAGTGTTGCATTCTGGGTTTTTTTGTTTGTTTTTGAGGCAGTTTAATATGTAGTCCAGGTTGGCTTTGACTTTGCTATGCAGGTAGACTCAGATTTAGTAGTTCTGCCTCAGCCTCCTGAGTGCTGAGATGAAGGCCCGCAGCACCCGCTGACTTATTTTAGATTCTTCTATGCAAGTTGGAGGAGCTTCATTTTAGCCTGCTTTAGAAAACTGGTATCCTGGGGGTTTCCTTGGAGGGGGTACTGGGTTTTTAACCCTGGGCACTCAATCGCTGAGCTGTGTCTCCAGCCCCTTTTCTTCAGTTTTTAAATTTTGAAAAATTGCTCGGGCTGGATTTGCATTTGCCACCCTCCTGCCTCAGCCTCCTCAGTGCTGGGATCACAGGCGTGGGCCTCCACACCCAAAAGTCTTGATTTGGAAGCTGCTTCAAATGCAGATACCCGGGGCCATCCCAAGGAACCATGCATCTTATCCATTGTTCTGAAGCCTGGTGATCCGCGGGGAGAAGGACGAGCAGGCCGTGCTGTGCAGTGGGGACAGAACCTATGAGCTGAAGGTGGCCGACACCTCCAACCTGCTGCTGTGCATCCCCGGCTGCCAGACGCCAGAGCAGCTTGCACGGGAGCCGGCACCACCGGACCTGATCCACGCCGAGGTACCGCCGTCCTGACCTTCCCAAGTGAGCTGGGGAGGCCAGCGGGTGCGCCAGTCCTTTCTTTAGTCAGATCTTTAGATGGAAGACGGGTGTGGGGGATGTGCATTTGTAATCCCAGCACTCGGGAGGCTGAGGCAGGAGGATCTCTGCAAGTTGGAGCCCATCCTGAGCTGCACGCTGACTTCAGGCCAGTCTGGGCTACATAGTGACACCCTGTTCTAGTGGCCTCCCCTCCACAAGAAAAAAAAACTACTTTAGGTATAAAGTATATGATCAAAAAAAGAAAAAAATGAAGTATATGATCGTACCATTCTGAGTATCTATTTCATGAAATTGAAAATTTCTCAGCATTATTATTTTTGTTTGAGTTATTGTGAACTTGTCTATGTTTTCTGTTTGATTTCTTTCTCTTTTTTTAAGACAGGGAATTGCTGTATATTTCAGGTTTTGACCTTGAGGTTATGATAATCCTCCTGCCTCAGCCTCCCACAGTGCTGGGATTACTTACAGGGTGCCCACTGCAGCCTAGAAGCTTCTTGCACTGAACGAAAGTCTCTCCTTTGCGTTCTCTTTCTTTTTTTTTTTAAAGGGTAGAATTAATATTTTATTGTAATTTATAATCAGATGGCAGTTGGGTAGACAGTTTCCATACTTCTTATTTTTTTGTAAATAAAAAGAAAATTAAAGTTTTAAACAGCCGATAGCAGGTTACATTCTTCAGAAAACACAGATTAATTCATTAATGGTGGCTGCAAGCTTTGCCTTATTAGCGCCGGGAAACTCACTCACCTCACCCTTTTTAAAAAACTGGAAGGTCGGCGTGCATTTGACTTCACACCCGGCAGCGACGTCCTGACGGTCATCCACATCTACTTCAAGGCACGGCACGTTTTAATATTTTTCAGAGAGGGAGTGAAAGAAAGAAAGGCTTGATCATTTTGCAAGGCCCCACCATGTGGCTGAGAAATCAGCTACTACCGCTTATCTCCTGCAGCAGCCAGGGCTTGCTGACGGGCCTCTTTGGTTTCTTTTTTTTTCTTTGTTTTTTTTTTGTTTTTCTCCGGTACCGGGAACCGAACTCACGACCTTGCGCTTGCCAGGCAGGCGCTTTTGCCGCTGAGCTAAATCCCCAGCCCCGGGCCTCTTTGGTTTCGATCTGCTGCACCGTTCTGGCTGCGGGGGGCCTGACGAGCCACTGAAGCCAGTGATGGACGTGCATGGAAGGCGTGGGACGGAGCTCCGCATTCTCTTTCACTTGTGTGTCACACGGGACACAGAGCAAAGGCGCACCTTTCCCTTTTTATGACATCTCCTTACTGTGTCTCTCACCGGAAGTGTGTCCACCTGGTGTGCGAACTGCTGCTGTCCTGGTCAGCTTCTCCTGGGTTAGGTTAGTTTCTAGAGTGTACCTGAGGTGTGATGTTTGCTTCCTCATTTTCAGCCAGGTATGGTGGTGTGCGCAGCACTGGTGAGGCTGAGGCAGGAGGACTGTCATGCGTTCAAGGCCAGCCTGGACTACGTAGTGAGACCTTGTGTCAAAAAAAATAAAAAATTTCTCATTCTAATTTTGTTGGCAATGCCGGCTGAATTGGGCTTTGAGGAGAACCACCCCCCACCACCCCACTTGGTTATCGTTGACAGCGCTGGGTTAGCTGGAGTTTCCTCAGCACGGCCACTAACGTGTTGCGATGTTTATGATTTCTAGATCTTTGGTTTTGCCAATAATTACTGGGAATTAAGAAGATGCAGGCCGAAACTACAGAAGCTGAGGAGACTTCTGATGGAAAACACCTATGAAGGACCCGACAGCCCCAAAGAGGTGGATTCGAATCACTCCAGGGTAAGACTGTCAGCGTCACTCTTGATTGGAAATGAGGGGAAAATACCTGGTTAGATCACTGCACAGCAGCGGTCTTAGCTTCACGTTTATGCTTCAAACATCAACCCACTGAGGTGGGCGTCGCATCGAGGGCCGCCCACCCTGAGCTGGTAAGGTGGCCTCCGATCTCGACAGCGGGCAGGGATGGCGTGGGTAGGACTCGGGTGGGAGACCCCGCGGAGGGCCTGGGTGCGCAGGCTCCAGAGGAACAGTAAGGTGCTATCTCCCGGCGGTCTTTTCTTTTGAGATAGGATCTCACTATGTGGTCCAGGCTGGCCTCGAACTCACGGTGATCCTCCTGCCCCAGCCTCTCACGTTCTGGGGACACAGCCTTGCACCACTATGCCCCGTGCTATTTCTGTGTCAGAGTCATTGTATATTAGTAATAAAAGAACTGAACGAATGCATAAATTATTTCCTCCATCAGTTCTGTGGATTCCCACAAATTCAATGAGAAATCTAAAAAAAATACTATTTTTCAGAGCCTTAAAATGTGCTTGTTTTCATTTCAGTACACAACCGAGGATTTGCTTGATGTAGTTCAGGCGAGTGAGGAGGAAATAATGGCTCACCTGCGAGTTCTGAATGCCTGCGAGATTGGAGGTGGTGTTCTGGGGGGGCAGGGGGTCGGATGCCAGAAGGGTGTGGGTGTGTTCACCGAACTGCACGTTGACCGAATCCTTCCGGGACTCAGAACCAAAGTGCTGCGTAGTCACTAGGCCCTGCATTCGGCCTGCAGCACTGCAGACAAACAAGACCAGATTATATTTGTCTTTTTTGAGTTTCTGAGAGATGGCGTTGCTACATAGTTCAGGCTGGTCTTGAACTGTAGGCAGTCCTCCTGCCTCTGCCTCCTGAGTTCTCGGATGACAGGCGTGCACCACCATGCCCGGCTAGAACACAAAGACTTTTAGTGTTGTTTTGTTTTATTTGTTTGTTTTGCAACAGACAAGAGTATGCTAGTACTTTATCGACCTTATCAGCTACTTCATTCTCTTAACGTGCCCCTTGGTAAATCTGACTCTTGAAATTTCTAGGTCACTGGAGGATTCTTGAGTTTGATTATGAGATGAAACTTCTGAATCATGTAACTCAGCTTGTGGATTCCGAATCCTGGTCTTTTAGTAAAGTCCCTTTGAGTATTTGCCTTCAGGAGCTGGGCCCCCTGGAGCCAGAGTAAGTATTTTCATTCCTGGTCCTGCGGCTCCCTGAGCGGGAGGAAGTTCCTGCCCAGCTTGGGACAAAACTCGGGACGTGGGCCGTTTGTATTTTGATATCTTAGACAGAGCTTAAAAATATACAACCAAAAAGGAGTTGGGAATTTTGATGACTAGGGTGAAAGAATCTGTATCATTTTTTTCTTATTTTTGTCATAAAAATACAAATTGTTATGTTTGAGCTATTTTATATTAATAGGCTCACGTTTCCTGTAAAAAATGTGTGGCCCGAGGCTTGACATGTAGCAGTTTCCCAGTGTGTGTTTGTTAGTTCTCAAAGTAAATAAAATACCATTCAGCATCCAAATAATATTTCAAATCGCAAATTTATGTCTTAGTTTCTAGTTAGAAATGAGGTTTAGCTGGGGATGCAGCTGAGTGGTGGAGCACTTGCCCAGCATGTACAAGGCCCGGAGTTCAATCCCCAGTACCACAGAAAAAAGAAAAAAGAAATGAAGTTTAAAACACAGCGCATGACGGCCTGTACGTCCATCAACAGATGGATGGATAAAAGTGTTTACACACAATGGAGCACTACTGTGCCATGAAGAAGGATACGCTTGAGTCATTTGTAGGAAAGTGGATGCGTTTTGAAACCGTAATGTTCAGTGAAATAACTCAGACACACAGCCTAAGTGTTGCTTGTTTTCTCTTGCATGAGAAACCCAGTGTAAACAAAAAGCAAAATAAACAGCAGATAATAGAGCCAGGTGTGGTGGACACACCTGTAATCCTAGCGTTCAGGGTGGAGGGGCTGAGGCAGGAGGATCTTCATAAGTTTGAGGTCAGCTGGGCTACATAGTGAGTTCAAAGCCAGCCTGAACTACATATAGGGCCTCTTGTTAAAAAACAAAATAAATAAGTAGCTAGGTAATAGGAAGGACACCAAGGAGTGTAGGGAAGAGAAAAGATGAAAAGAGGGCCAGGGAGATAGCTCAGTGGCATACGCACCTGACTGGCAAGCACAAGGTCAGGGGTTTGATTCCTGGTGCCAGAAAAGGAAAAGGTGAAAAGAAAATTAAGAAGTGTTATGTACGGGTATGATCTTCCGACAAGGAGTGTGACCTCTATGTTCTGCAAACATGGGCTGATAAACATGGGTGCTGGGAAAAAATGATAGGAGAGGAATACCCAGACAGAATTGATCACCAAAATACTGTATAGTGTGCGGTAACTTTTCAAATGGGCTTTGTTAATTTTCCAGGGAAATGATAGAGCACTGCCTTAAGTGTTACGGGAGGAGGTACATAGACGAAGGTAAGTTTGGAAAGGATGTTCTTGGGCATTGAATTTTCATGTGCTAGAGTTGGTGTGCTTGTGTGGAGCGAGCTGGTGTTAAAAATAAGACCTGTAGGGCTGGGAGTGAGAGAGGTGTGCCTTAGCTACTTTCTTGTTGCTGAGACAAAATACCCAACACTTGGAGTTAAAAGAGGAGAGGTTTACTTCAGCTCACGGTTTGCAGAGGTTTCAGTTGGCTGGTTCCAGGAAAGACAGCATGGCAGAGGAGAAACAGTCTGTGGCAGGGCAGGCAGGAAGCAGCGAGCCTTCCTTTCCCTTTTATTGCACCCACTACCAGCATAGTGGTTGGTGCCCCCACACCGAGTGCAGCTTCTGTGTTCAGTAAATCCAGCCAGCCACAGCCAGAGCCGCACTAAGCCAGTCAGCGGAGTAATCCAGCACCACACAGCCCTGATCCCAGCCACCTCCCAGGAGTCCCACCTGTGAGTGAGTGCGTGAGGCTTTGGTGGACATCCGGACACGAGCCCTGGCGGGTGGCCAGGCTGAGCAGTGGTGCTGTGGGGAAGGAGCAGGGACCTGTGGGTAACACAGGGCTCTCTGATGCCGTGCCGCAGGGGAAGTGTACTTCGAGCTGAGTGCGGATAAGATTTGCCGCGCCACTGCCCAGATGCTCCTGCAGAACGCAGTGAAGTTCAACCTGGCCGAGTTCCAGGCCGTGTGGCAGCAGAGTGTCCCCGAAGGGATGGTGACCAGTCTGGACCAGCTCAAGGTAACCCATCGGGCCTGCTGCCGGCTCACAGGTCCAGGCGAGCCTGTCTCGAAAGACAAAACAAAACAATGAAAAGGAGCTGTTTTTATGGGAAAGACTGTTACAAATCTCTGGGTAGTTTGTGTGGTTCTGTGAGGCTGGTGCTCACCTTGGGCTAAGTTTAAGCAGCGGGTCATTAGGGAAATGAACCACCTTTTCCCGTGGTTTTTTACAGGGCTTAGCACTGGTGGACAGACACTCGAGGCCGGAGATCATATTTCTGCTCAGAGCGGATGATCTGCCCGAGGGCAATCAGGAACGTTTTAATGCTCTGTTCTCTGTAAGGGAGAAGTGGACGGAAGAGGACATTGCTCCCTACATCCAGTAAGTGACTGAGTAACAGTTGATTGTTGTTTTTTGAGATGGAGTCGCATTATGTTGTCAGGCTGGCCTTGAACTTACTGTGTAACTCAGGCTGGCCTTGAAGTTGCAGCGATCCCCCTGCCTCAGCCTCCTGAGTGCTGGGATTACGGGCATGTACCACCACGCCCCGAAGGACGCATTTACAATGAGCGATTTTCTCCCTTTAGAGGTGATACATTTAGTCACCTACTCAGTGCATCCCTCGGAATGTCTGATGGGGATTTCTCACTGTGCCTCGGTGAGCCACAGACTGTCTCCCCGCCCCGCCTCATCTCAGGGAGGAGCTCCTCACATCCGTGCTCACGGGAGGCGCTGGCACAGTCTTGTTGAGTGAGGGCTGCACCGCCGGGATGAGCGGGTAGCCGGGGTCGTAAACTCCGCACTGATGGTGCCTTACAGGGACAGGCTTTAAGACAGGACAACGCGGTACTTGTAAGGAGGAAAACGCGGCAGGAAGCTGCCCATAGAGCTCAGGGAGCTCTGCAAGACGGGTCCCGCGGGCCCTCTGTCCCTGGCTTCTCCTGTGGGTTGACGGACATGGAGCTGGCCACGGCCTGGCTGGCTGCCTGGACCGCCGCAGGTGGGTCCCGGGCCCCGGGCCCCTCACGGGTTGGCTGCCTGCGTGCGCATTCTGCGTGGCGGCTGTGGCTTCGCTCCTCCCGCCCCGCTGGTCCTGGTCGGCGCAGCCCGGGGGCTGTAGGTTGCTTGGGAGGAGCCCTCCGGGCGTGCAGCGTAGAGTTAGTGCGCGAAGCAGGGGGAAGCGCGTGTGTCTGGCGCAGGAAGACTGACTCTAGAGAGTGCGGACAGCAGTGCAGGTGTGAGTGTGTATTTTATGTACTAAGAGGAGCGTGCCTTAAAGTTAGTAGCCCCACCCCTGCCTCCTTTGGTGGCGTTGGAAAGGGGTGCGGAGGGTGTCCTGCCCCTGCTCCCCATCCGGTGGGTGGGGCTGAGAGACCCCTCCTGCCGCTTGGAGGGGGACTTTCACATCTGGTTTCTCCTCCCTCTGCCCTCGGAACTGCTCCCACGGGGCTCCTCCGGTAACGTCTAACACCGTCGGACGTTGTTCCTTTCCTCCTGCAAGCCACCCTCCTGCCCTCCCAGCTACACAGGAGGCTGAGGCGGGATCCTGTAAGCCAGGAGTGGAGGCTGAGTCAGCAATGCCTCCTGGCCAATTGACAGAAACAGCAGTCTGGAGCCGCCTTGTCCTGCCCCCTGGTTTAAGCCCCCAGCAAACCCTGTGCGTCGTCTCGCACCCGCCTCTGGTGGGGCTTCTTTCTCCCTTCTTTGCCGTTCTCTGCTCCTCTCGACCCTGCTTATTTTGTGGTTTCCTGGCGATGCCCAGTTGCTGGGGATGAACCCAGGGCCTTGCACCTGCTTGGCCTGCGGCCTTCGCTGTCCTTCGGCATGCACCCCCGTCACGTCCCCGTGCTCGTCCCCTCTGTGTGGTAAGGGGAGAGGGCAGCTACACAAACTCACAGTGGTCTGGGGTCCGGGTTCTCTGGCTCCAGGCCCTATGGTGACACACTGCTTGTATTTTTGACTTGGAGGTTTAGTTAAGACGTAGAACTGCCGGTGTGGGAGTGCATTCCTGTCATCTCAGCACTCAGAAGGCTGAGGCAGGAGGATTGCTGCAAGTTCAAAGCCAGCCTGGATTACACAGCAAGACCCTGTCTCAAAAGTAAATAAAAAAGACTTCGAACCAGCCCTGCTCTGTTTCTCCTGTGAGCACGCACTCTCACGCCCACGTGAACGGGGCTTTGGGGGAGAGGTGAGGAGGACTGTTTCGTTCTCCCAGACGTTCACGCTGTTCACCTGGGTTTCCGGTTGTTTCCACAGAGACCTGTGTGGGGAGAAGCAGACGACTGGTGCCTTACTCACTAAGTACGCTCGCTGCTCCGTGCAGAACGGTGTGCGGGTGTACAACTCCCGGAGACCCGTCTCTTAGACAGCAGCCCTCCCGGGACCCGCTTGCGTCGGAGAGGGTCGGACACAGAGTCCCGTTCTCTGTATGTTCATTGCCGACTTGAAACCCCCTTTCCGGGAAGGGGTTTGTTTTCTCCGCTCCTCTGCTGTCACAGGACGGTTACACATCCTGCACATTTGTAGCACGGGAACAAGCACAAAATAAAGTTTCCCACCTTGTGTGCCTCTGACGTCCGTGTGGCTCCATTTCTACAGAGTTTTTGTTTATAAAATTCCCTACCGTTAAGTGGATTTGATATTCTGGTTATTAATACCCTGAAACTTTTTCTTTCTGGTACCAGGAATCGAACTCAGAACCTTGTGCTTGCCAGGCAGATGCTTGTGCCACTGAGCTATATCCGTAACCCCCCTTGAAACATTTTTGAGAGAGCTAAACAGTGATAGTTTCATGGAAGATTTATTCATAGCAGGGGTGGCAGTGCAAGCCTCTAATCCCAGCATTCTGGGAGGCAGAAGCAGAAGGATCCCAAGTTTGAGCCCAGCTTGGGCAACTTGAGTGGTTTAGATCCCGTTTCAAAATAAACACCAAAAAAGGCTGAGGATGTAGCTCTGCAGGAAGGCCCCGAGCTCAGTTCTCGGTGCTGCCCCCGTGGACATCGTATTCACTTACGGCCATTAAGCGGGTTCCCCTCAGCAGCGGCGTGTGCTCTTCACACCTGCAGGGAGGCACACCCGGAACCACGTGCACTCCAGGCCAGCGGAGGCGACAGCCCTTGTGGTGCCAGTGCCACTGCTCTAGGTTTTGCGGTGTTGGGGAGGGATTTTTTTTTTTTTCCCTGAGACAGGCTCTCACTATGTAGCCCAGGCTGGCCTCAAACTCACGGTGATCCTCCTGCCTCAGCCTCCCTAGTGCTGGGATTACAGGTGTTGATGAGCTCTTTAGAGCACTCTGCCTAATTTGTTTCAGACCAAAGATCAAAGTACCTTTAAATTGGGCAATGAACTTGTCACCGGATGGCTGGACGCAGACCAAGCTAACTCTGGCCCAAGATTTACAAAAGGTTAATGAAGAATTCACAATTCATGGAACTTTACATACTGAAGTTCACTCATTTTATGCACTTGAAAGACAAACACGGGTCCGAGATATTTGTGTTCCAATAAATTTTCCTGCATTTATATGGGTTATGTAATGTACAGTATACAGTATTATAGGGCAAATTTCTAATGCATGCTATAAATGATTTATCTACACATACACGATATAATGCGTATTCCTGTTTAGATTCAGAGTCCACCCCAAAAATGTGTACACACGTCAGGAGAAGAAAACTGTGCGTAAATATTTTAATACGAAATTTATTGAGACATGTTAATGCGAGTGACCTTTGGCCTCCACAATTACAAAAGCAGCTCAAGGTGCGGCCCGCAGCCTCCAGACGTGCATTAGCATGGCGAACTGCTCTGGGTGACCCGGCGGGTTCTCTGCGATGCCCGGCACCCTGTGGCCCCACAGATGCAGGTCCGCGGTGTGGGGTCAGGAGGCGGGGGGGCTCCCGGCTCCGGCTCCAGGGTCCCGCCGGTGCCTTGCCGACGCTGGTCCAGGCAGGCCCGGCCGGCGGTGAAGGCAGAATCCGACAGTGCCCCGAGCTGGCGGGCGGCAGGCGGGTGCCGGCGCGGAGGTGGCCG